AAAAAAAAAAAAAAAAAAAAAAAAAACACGAAATACTCGCAAACGATCTTATCTTACGCGTACGTGTATTTCCCTCGTCCCTCCCCTCCCTCCTCCCCCCCCTTTTAGGATACAGAACGAAACCCGGCCGGTGACGTGAACGAACACCATCGACATCACCACGAAACCATCGTCATTCGTCCACGAATTCGAGGACGAGGATAGGATTGGTCGTCGTGAAAAAAGGAAAAGAAGAAGAAGAAGAAGAAGAAGAAGTCAGAGATGGTGACTCTTACTTACTGAGACCGAAGGGCTCCCGATGGCAGGGGCGTCTCGGCGTGTCTCTCCGTTGGGGTAGCTTTGGAACGTCTGCCCTCAAAGTTCTCCCCGCCACCTGCTTTCGCGTTACCCTCTTCCCGTCCCAATCAACCCCCTCAATCGCCGAGGGGGTTGGAGGAGGCAGCGTGGCAGGGCGCAGCCGCGGTTTCCAGGATCCTGGGATTGGCCGCGGCCGTGCGTCAACCCCCAAACCCTCCACCATCGCATCCGCAACCCCCGCTGGCCACCTTCTCCTCAAAGGGGGGAAGGGGGGGGGGGGGGAGGAGGGGAAGAGGAAGCGCTCGCCAGGTATAACGACGCCGGTCGATGCTGCGCGGTATTTCTAGCGAGGCAGGTCGATATGAGCCTCACCTGTGCAAACGTGGGCTGCCGCCTGGCAGCCTGGAGGTGGAAGAAAGGGGTGAAAGCGTGGCGAACACGCGAGACGCCTTCCTCCGATTTAGTGACGATTATTTCGAGCGGTTTACTGGTAAGTAAACGTGTTTCTTATGAAAGGTGTTGTCGTTGTAAGGTAATCGAGAGGTGAGATCGGATTGGATTTTGGTTAACTCTGATCCGATTCATTTTGGAATTTGATAATTTAACATGGTACTCATGTTACTCATTTTTCGAAGCTAGCTGTACGAACTGTTGTGAAATTAGTAAGTGAAAGTATGAAAGTATTGCAAGGTTTTTAAATTAAGGAAATATTCTTTTTTTTTTTTGAGCTTGTTTAATCGTGATTAAGGTTATTGTGTGATGATGAATTATTTGTGTTTGATATGTATATGTTTTTTTTTTTTTTTTTTTTTTTCTATAATTAAGATTATTGAAACAGTATAATATAGAACGTATAATAACAGAACAATATAGTATTTTCTTTGATCAGATGTTTAGATTATGTTGAAACGAGTTGTAAATTGGCTACATTTAATTCTATGGAGCTATCTCTGTATTGTTTTCCGTTTTGATCTCGTTTTCTTCGCATTGTGTATTGGAACAAATTAAACTGTAAATTGTCTCCATTTGCGGCTATACCTGTCTATGTTATTTTCTATTTGATTGGGTTTGGTGATTCTATTTCAATTTCCATTGTTCTGTCATCGTTGGAATTTTTTAATGGATATTGTTAAATGTACAAATATTTTTGATCGAATATAGAATATACTATATCGCTCATTATGTAATTACACAAGTTATTGAAAAAGAAAAATACACTTGTTATTCGTACATCTTAATGACAGAATTATGCAAATGAATTTTTAAATTTTTTAATTGTTTTTCCTATTTCTAAAGGATAATCTAAATTGATAATCTAAATTCTCCTAACTTTTTATCAATTTTATGAAATGCTTAAGTTTAAAAACAATCACTTCATCTCTCATATAAATGAAACGTAAGAGAAGAATTTCAAAACAGAGATTTCACAAGTCCATTAAAATTATCTCTAAGAAAAGATTAAATTAAAATTATCTCTATCGTTCTTATAAATAAAATATTTATATTTTACACCGTATATTCTCGCACATATAAATCGTTTCTTCCTATTATAAATAATTTGTACCCTCGTCTCGATCAATCTGATAGATTCAATGTTCGAGTGATTTATCGTCAACAAATTTTTTTTTTTTTTTTTTTGTATCTCGATGAATGCACAGATATTCGATATCGATCCCCTTCTCCGTATTCTCACCAACCGGTGGACTCTCACGCTTCTCGCTCTAAGGCTGTTTAACAGAACATGAGGCACAAAATGCACGAGCCAGGAAACTGGTAAAGCTTCTCGCGAAAGTTGGTCACGAATCCTCTTCCCGTGGTCGAACCGTATCTGATTACCCGCAAATTAAAATACGAGTGTCGATGAATTGCTAAACGTACTTAAACTGGAAAATTGGTTAATCGGGAAATTCTTTCATTGGAACGAAATCTTCCTTCCTTGATTAAATTAATTAATTACCATCTCGAGGTTATTAACTATCCCTTTGTTATATTATTTTTTGGAAAAGAAAATTTTTTGCAAATGAGATATTGCAATTTTCGAAACTTCTGTTGAATTTGTATGTGAAATATGAAACGAAGAGAATGAGTTAATAAATTAAAATTTAAAAGAAAGGAGAATACAGAAGAAAGAGTTTGATTGGTGGATACCTTGGGAAAATTTTTGTGAATTCATGAACAATGTTTCTCAAAATATATTCTATCAATATATTTGTTTATTGTATGATTATTACTTTTTTTTATGTGTGTTCAATCAAGGTTTAAGGGATTTCTTTTATTAATTTAATCGTGTTTTCTTTCTCTCTCTCTCTCTCTCTTATATTTTCCTTCTTATGAATGTACATCTTAGATTTCGAAACTCGACAATTCTTAATTTTAAAAGATAATTAGAAATAAGAAAAAGTAAAGAACCTTCGCTGTGCCAATTAAAACTAATGTACTAGCATTAACGTTAAAAATACACAAACTTTCTCTCTGGATGGTTTAATGTAAAAATACTAACCGTCCATTCAGATATCATGTATGAAAAAGACTGAATTTTATATAATTTTATATAAAAGACAGAAGAGTGTATTTTCTTTTTTTTTTTTAAAAATAATTGAATTCCACACAACCTACGTATTCATACATTGTGATAGCAGTAAAAGATAAAAATGCAAGATGAAATTCACTTTTCCAAATATTTTTTACATATTTTAAAATATAAAAAAATATGGAAAAGAAGCTTTTAAGAAAAGGATTAAAATAATTCTAATTTCTATGCAAATTAAAAATTTTAAATTCCCATTCGACTGGAATTCAATTTACAAATTCAATTAACTTGCAACTGTTAAAGACTTATCAGAGCCACAATAATTTATCGAGAATGTTAAAAAAAACTTTGCAAAATTTAGAATATACGTTTATTTAAATTATTATCTCGATTAAACAAGGAATTTTTTTAAATTCTTTCAACAACAAATTTGAATAAAGTTATTTTAATCCCACTCGAATCGAGTAATCTTATATCTTTTAAACGATCTCTCTTCGATACTCTGAATTTCACTTGAAACGATATTAAAAATAAAACATGTTCCATCCTACATTAAATGGAAATATATTTTCGTATCGGAGAAATGGATCCTTCTCGTGGAAATTCGTTTTGTTACACTCTACCACTCTGCTCTCATTCGTTGAAGTTTCCAGTAATATGAGACCCCGGAGTTGATCTCTCTGAAGAGACATCGTTGAAATTTCTTCAAAAAAAAAAAAAAAAAAAAAAATATATATATATATATCATCGTTCAACGTGATAAATTTTAATAATTTTAAACGAAAAAATTAAACCGAATAAATTTTTACATTTAAAAATTTTCCATTGTCGAAATAAATAAAGATACGTAATTAATCAAATAGCAATTAATTTATAACTTTATATAAGACTTGAAAATCTATATTTCTAACTATATTTTATT